ACCGGAACTCTTCTTCGTGGATCTGCAACCGCATGGTGGCAATCTGCACACGCTTCTATCACCTCTTGGGAATACTTCAAGCAATTCTTCAAATCAACTTTTCAACTTGTGAACCCGAACATCAAGGCATGAGAATCCTTGGCTGCCCTCAACTAACTAAAATCTGTCCAGGAGTACGCTTCTTGCTTCCGTGACATAGCCCAAGAGATTCTGGACCTCTCCCTTGCTGAACGAATGGATCGCTTCAAGCGTGGATTGAAGCCCAACGTGAGAATGGAGGTGGAGCTGAGAGACTGCACTACACTCGAGGAAATGATACGCGTGGCTGAATGGTATGATGCTGTTCACTTTGCCTTCAGTAAGCCTCGCTTTCCTTGCAGCCCGCTACTCCCTTTTGTTCCCTCCTACCTGTCCTTCACTTCAGCAGACAACAACCAGCAAGAACCCGCTCCTATGGACCTGAACCTAATCGAGAAAAGAAAGCAGAACCTGAGGCCACCCGTCGTGTGCTTCAAGTGCGGCAAGAAAGGACACATCTGGAAGTTCTACCGCGGGCGCACCAATCAACCGCCTCTTCTTCCAACGCCGGGAAATGAAAGTTGCAAGTAAGTTTGGGGCAACTTCTTGGCAATGAAATCAGCCCTTCCATCTCTTCTCTTGAAAGTCATAACCCTTCTAAACCTCTTCTTCCCATGACTGTCCGAGGTCAAAGAGTAAAAGCCTTACTTGACAGTGGTGCTTCCTCAAATTTCCTCTTCTCTCCAATCTTTCCCTTCCAAACCAACCTAAATCCCTACCTCAGACAGTGCTAATGGCAAATGGAACTTCAATTCCTTGTGGACCAAAATGTTTCCCTGTCCCACCATCGGATATGTTATAATCACAATAGGCTCAGATGTGCCTATAATGAGAGATAGAGAGCACAGTCGGATTTCCGTCAGACGGCTTCAAATATTGATAACGATCTGCTGGCTGACTCAAACGGTGATCTGTAAATTGGATCTGAAGCGCGTTGCTGTCGTCTATCAGTAGCAAGTTGAATCATGAAATTCCATGAAGATTTGACGACGCTATGGCGGTTTGACTGGTAGAAGGTATAGCAGCCACTATAGTCTTGGAAGTACAAACTTAGCAAGAAGAGTTCGAGAGGGAGATGGTTCCCAGCCTCTACATACCCCAAGAGCCGAGGTCCAGGTTGGTGGTACACCACCACAGAGTCCCCAACCATGAAGAGTCTCGAAACCAACCCTCCAAGGGGCTACACCAAGTGAAATGTAACATTACACGAAGTAACGTTACTATTTTCACTATTTAATATTTATCCGCGTCCCTTGGGCTTGAAATCTTGAGCTCTTGGTCTTGGATCTGCAAGATAAATTCTTCTTGAGTTGATGGGGGCTTGCTGCACACACCTGCGACACGATGGACACTTCACACTCGACAAAATAGAAAAAACACATGCGACACACAAATGACGACTTGACATGCGAGTTGTAAAAACCCGCTAATGTCTTGACCGACAGAAACCACATTGTGATACACCATTCAAACACACACACAAGCACTGGATAGCAATGACATAGACTCACAATTCATTCCATGCCATGCATGCACACACACAAACAAGGACGACAAGCTGAGTGCAAGCCATAGGGTTGCACCAACAGGATCCTACAAAACCAAGATTGGATTTCAGCAAGCATCCCTTGAAGACCATAAAATCATTCTTGGGCGCAATTGGCTGTCTATTGCTAATCCTAAGATTGATTGGACCCTTGGAACTGTTACCATCTCAAACTTTGGAAGAGGCATAACCCTACCTACCCTTTCTGCCTCTCCTTCCATACCCACTTGCTGCAACCTCCTTTCAGCAAGACAGTTGAAGAAATCCTTGAAAGACTCGAGCGCTAAATTTTTCCTTTGTTTCTTGCAGAAAACCTGTGCAAGTCCTTCTCCCTCTTCCCCTTCCAAGGCTGCTGAAATCCCTCTTCAAATTCAACAGGTATTGAATGACTTAAAAGAAATCTTCCCCTCAGACCTTCCTTCTGGTCTTCCTCCCAAGAGAGCCATCGATCACCGCATCACTCTACTCCCTGGCTCAGAACCTACCGTCCGTGCTACCTACCGGATGAGTGCTGCCGAGCTGCAAGAAGTCCAGAAGCAGTTGGAAGAGCTTCTTGCGAAAGGCTTCATCCGAGTCAGCTCCTCTCCTTATGCAGCACCGATTCTCTTCGTGAAGAAAAAGGATGGCAGCATGCGGATGTGCATTGACTATCATGCACTCAATAAGTTAACCATCAAGAACCAATATCCCCTGCCACGTGTGGAAGAAATATTTTATCAACTCGGCCAAGCCACAATTTTCAGCAAGCTGGATCTCCAAAGGGGATGTCATCAAGTTCGTGTTGCTGACAAAGACATCGAGAAAACTGTATTCAGAACGCGGTTTGGGCATTTCGAATCCCTATTTCTTCCTTTTGGATTAATAAATGCCCCTGCCACTTTCATATGCTTGATGCACAATGTCTTTTGTGATTTCTTGGACCGGTTTGTCATAATCTTGATTGATGACATCCTGATCTATAGCAAATCATTGAAACAACATGCTGAGCATCTAAGACAAGTGTTCACCCGACTTCGTGAGCATCGCCTCTTCGTCAAACATAGCAAGTGTGAGTTTGCAAAGTCCTCGATTCCTTTCTTGGGCCATGTCATCTCACACAACCAGCTTGCCATGGATCCCTCCAAACTCAAAGCCGTTCAAGATTGGACACCCCCAACTTTTATGAAAGAAGTACAAGCTTTTCTTGGCCTTGCTAACTACTACCGCAAATTCATCCGCCACTTTGTTGCTATCACCTCCCCTCTATCCAATCTCCTCCACAAGAATGAAGGATTCCATTGGGATTTGGACCAGCAAAAAGCCTTTGACCCTATTAAGTGTGCACTAACCTCTTCTCCTACCCTAGTCCTACCCAACCCTTCCCTCCCTTATGTGATATGGACAGATGCCTCTCAGGTTGCAACGGGTGCAATCCTTTGTCAGGATCAAGGACATGGCCTCCAGCCAATTGCTTTCAAATCTCAAGCCTTCTCAGTGCAACTATGCTACTCACGATCGTGAGGCACTGGCCATCATCCATGCAATCAATAAGTGGCGTTGCTATGTCCATATGCAACCCGTCACTGTTCTTACTGACCACAGCACCCTGCAATACCTGAAGACACAACCCCATCTCACCCCAAGATAGGCCCGATGGATGGAGTATCTGGAGCAGTACGTACCTGAGCTAAAAATCGAGTACCGCGCTGGCCGCCTCAACCCCACTGATTCTCTACCCCGGCCTCTGCAATCCCAGCTCACCACTATCAGCAGTGTTACATGGGATGAAAGCTTCATCGGCAAGTTCATCAATCCGTATCGTCGTGACCCTTTCTATCTCAATCTTGCTGCTGATGGTCCATCTGTCTACTATGAATCCCCTTTCTTGTATAAGGCAGATTCCTAAGTCATCTGTGTTCCAGCAGACCGCAAGTTGCGTCACCTCCTGCTACGCAAGCATCATGACCAGAATGCACACTTTGGCGTGGAAAAAACGCTTGCAGCCATCTCTGCAAACTTCTTTTGGCCAAAGCTCTCTCATGACGTCCGCTCCCACGTATGCAGCTGTCATACTTGTCAGTGCAACAAAGCTCGCAATGCAGCACCCTACAGCTTACCACACCCCTTGGAGATACCTCAACTTCCCTAGTCTCATGTCACGCTCGACTTCATTACCGATCTCCCTCGCACCTCTTCCCATCACAACGCTATCCCATCATGTTGACAAGCTCAGCAAGATGGCTCATGTCCTCCCTACCTCCACTATTGCAACTGCTAAAGCTGTAGCTGATCTCTTCTTCAAGGAAGTGGTACGTCTCCATGGTATTCCTCATGTCCTTATCAGTGACCGTGACTCGCGATTTGTTGGCTACCTGTCCTTATCATCTTCCCCAACCCACTTCCCTCTCATCCCTCCACCTCAACGTCGTCCCATGTTCACCCCAAGCCCTGACCTCTTTGAAGTTGAAAAAACATCCTCTCTCACGAAACCTTTCCTCATGACACTTTCGTCCTTGTTCAGTGGCGTGGCCATGATTCTTCTCACAACCTTTGGGTTCCTGAGACAAGCCTCCAACATGCTCAACGTGCCCTTTCCAACTACTTTGCAGCTACCCAAGCACCGAGGACAATGCTTTCTCGAGAGGGGGGTAATGTAACAAGACGCTGGCGAACTCGTGTAACGAAGTTTCGCCAGCTCAACAAAATCTAATTCGAGGTTGAAACCCGACCTCGAAATACACCCTTGGGGAATTCGAAGGTTGAATCCAACCTCGAATTGCTCAACCCTTCAATCTGAGTTTCCAACCTTGGGAACAACTACAGAGAGCACGCAACCCAGCCAAGCAGCGCAGCAGAATAATCGACAACGCACCTAGTGGAAAACAACTACAGCCATGGTTTCTTCCAGCACAGCTATATCTCATCATTTCTACAAACGTCATCAGCAACAGCAGTACAAGGAAGACTATGCTAGGATGCAATAGTTATTTCCTAGAGTATGCATGCTAGTTTGTAGAATTCCAGCCAAGCTAAGTATGCATGCATGCAATCATTACCTATGCCTTGCAGTTCTTAGCTTAGCAAAGATGAGAAGCGACTTGGGCGACCTTCTTGAGGTGCCTTAGTCATTCTCCTTGCATATATAGTGGTGTGCTTCTTGATTGGAAGCCATCATATGATCTCTAGTAAAGCTACCTTGCCACTTTCACCTTTCAACTCTTCCAAGAATACTTCTTACCTCTACTATCTACTCCAAACAGCCTAGTGGCTGTTCCATGGTGACAAGCGGGGGCAGACAAGAGCGGGTGTGGACGAGGGAGTCGGAAGGGGGAAAAATGGGGGGTCAAGTACAGGGAGGAGAGAGTTGGATGAGGGGAGGGATAGATGGGTGAAGGAGCATTGGAGTTTGTGCAGGAAGGAAACATCATGGCGAAGAGGGAAGAGCAAGAACGGGCATTTTGCGAAGGAGAAGAAGGAGAAGGAGAAGAAGGAGGAGGAGAAGGAGAAGGAGAATGAGAAGGAGAAGGAGAAGGAGAAGGAGAAGGAGAAGGAGAAGGAGAAGGAGGAGGAGGAGAAGGAGGAGGAGAAGGAGAAGGAGAAGGAGAAAGAGAAGGAGAAGGAGAAGCAGGAGAAGAAGGAGAAGAAGGAGAAGAAGGAGAAGAAGGAGAAGAAGGAGAAGAAGGAGAAGAAGGAGAAGAAGGAGAAGAAGGAGAAGGAGAAGAAGGAGCAGAAGGAGAAGAAGGAGAAGAAGGAGAAGAAGAAGAAGAAGGAGAAGAAGAAGAAGAAGAAGAAGAAGAAGAAGAAGAAGAAGAAGAAGAAGAAGAAGAAGAAGAAGAAGAAGAAGAAGAAGAAGAAGAAGAAGAAGAAGAAGAAGAAGAAGAAGAAGAAGAAGAAGAAGAAGAAGAAGAAGAAGAAGAAGAAGAAGAAGAATAAGAAGAAGAAGAAGAAAAAAAAAAGGGGGGGGGGTAATAGTAGCGGTGTGTGGATAAGCGTACACTTCGTGCTTCGTGTGCATGCACCATTGTATAAGCAAGGCAGGATGCAACCCTTGAAGCACCAGTGTTGCGACCCGGAAAGGGCAAGAAAAGCAAGGAGCCTACTTGCACAAACGTGCAATACTCGGACCAATCATACATTAGCGGAAGAGAAAATGCTCTGGCGGTCCGGTTGATTCGCACTACCCAGCCAGCCGGGATGGCGCAAGCACGGGCCCACCTTGCGAGGGACTGAGCTTCACCGTGGCACCAGTAGCAGCCGAGGTCGTCCGAGAGAACGACAACAGCGCGAGCGCTGCGATGAGGATCAGGGCAGGGTGATGCGACCCCACCGCCATGGCAGTGCATGTCGGCTAAGTTGGATTGTGCAGATTGACGAGCTCGGACTGCCTTGGAGGCGGGCCTCACACTAGCGAAGGCGGCAGAGATTGTTTTGCCATCTGTCGTTGAACCTCCTGGCACGGCCGCGAAATCCACGCAAAGACAGGCTTGTTGCGACACCATCACAAAAATGTGGCCTGCGCGGCAGGCGACCCGCTGGGAAGGCTTGCGAGTAGCTAGCCGAGTTGGACGATGAAGCTGTGGGCACACGTAGTCCGCTGCTAACAATGGAATCACCTACCCTGATACTTGAGCAGTGATGGCTCCAGCCGGCACAGGACGAGGGTTCATTTGTACGGAAAACGGTAGCGGAACCTGGGAAGCCATGGTCGTCATTTTATCACGGACCACGGACCAAGGAGCTGCAACCACTCGGACCTAAGTGCCTGACTTGGACAAACTGGTAAATGCCAGGTGGAAACATACTCTACGATATGTAGCAGTGCTCATGTGGCAGTTGAAAGGAATCTAGGTGTCATTTCACACCTTCAGCCAGGATCATGCATCATACTTCCAAGTATTCAATTAAATAGCACGTGTTACAACCCGATTTTTGTTAGATTCACCTCAAGTTTGGTTCAGATTTGTATTGTCATATGGAGAGCGAGTCTCCTCGAACGTGGATTTCTCAGGCGAGCGACTGTATGGGGTTACAGTCACCAAGCAAATAAAACAATTGTTCTCACCCGAAACAAAATCGCCGACTTTAACGAATACTTAGTGTACACAGAAGGCCCCCCATTCTAAGAGCCCGAATTCTAAATAAAATCGCGTGTATTTTTTTGGCCGATTGTTCTTTGACCATCTCAAGAACTTTATGGTCTTATGCATGAAAAAAGAAAATACTATACGTAAATTTCGGAAATATTCTGAGAAGGGTGAAAGAGCGAAAACAGATGTAGAAGTAATATCCCTGTAAAATAGATTTACGCAAGGAACTGGATTCTGCAGAACCCAGGACAGTTTAAAGCGAGGATCTTAAGAAGCAAAAACAAAACCCAAAGGATTTAATTTCGGGGGGTCGCAAAAATTGCGAAGTGTGGTGACAGGTGTTGAGGGGCCGTTGTTACTGTTTCGCTGATTTCGCCAACCCAAAACCAAACCTTTTGGATTTGGTTTCACGCTTCTTGGGATCCTTGCTTTAAAGCGAGAGGATATAATAATGAACCCCCTTTCTAGTTGGGGTGCGCTGGCGTCAGCTTCCCTCTCCCTTTTGAAGCTGTCAAACAACAACATCTCCTAGAAGATGCAGTCCTAGGCATATAAAACCTTTTGGCTGTTGTGGTCTATAATTATCCAAGCGAAAGCATCTTTTGGTCTACCGAGATGAATGCCCCATCGTGCCCTGTCAGTGAATCTTCTTGCTGCTGCACTTAAAGATCGGTACTGTACTAATTAGCCCCAAACTCAAAGAAGTCTTATGTCCGCGGGATGCCCTATCCACATGAGATGTAGAGAGAACGATTGTGGGAAGGTAGTGGACGACAGCTGGTTCTACAAGACGAGATTTTGTGCCATTGCATATGGCCAAAAGTCTGCTACCAGGCATGCTTGAGGGAGGAGGATCCTCATCTTTGCCTGTAGAGACCTATTAATCCTTTCCACCGACCTGTTCTATTGGTGAGCATACGAGACGGCCTTGCACTTGAGGATCCCTTTTTCTCCCCAAGTATTCTTTGAAGGTGTCACACTCATACTCCCGAGCGTTATCTGTCAGTAGCTCTTGTAGCTTCTGTATGCTCTGCCTCTCCACCATGCATACCCATAGCCTAAAGGCATCGAAGGGCTCGCTCTTTTGAGCGGGGTTTTTGTGTCATACATAGTGCTTAGCTTTGTCGACAAAGTGATGATGTAGTTGTAGTCGTCGCCGCTTGTATCACTTGCTTCTCCATTCATAAAAAGGATGTTGCAGAAGGCAGCATCGAGCTTCTCATACAGTTGCATGCAAGGGAAGTCTGAATGGAATAGGCTGTAATGGAGGCCGACGATGGGGCAGATGGCGCAGCCATTCTGCCAAGACGTTGGTCCAAGCTCTTGCCCATTCGGCAGAAGCAACAAGTCTTTGTCAAATAAAAAGGTTTAAACGGCTGACGGGTGGCTGGGTCTTTGATGTCAGGTTTCTGCTATCGGCCTATGTCCCTTTTAGCTCAGGTACAGGCCGGAGTTGACAAAGAAGGCGGGCGGAAAGGAACAATTGAAGTTGGCAATGGCTGGGAAAGATGGGGTGAAGCTGGCTTCTTCCGTGGTTTCAAACATAGAAACTCTATCGACACAATGGCGAGCGACGCCGTCATTAACAATTTGGTGAGTAGCTACCCAGTTGGTTTTAACTTCGACGGGTTTGTTGATGCGAGCGGCGATGTACTCGTAGTCATTCTGCGGATCCCAGCGTGACCATCCCCCCATGCTCAATTTGCGAATGCCTATGTTCCTTCTACTGCTGCTCCTGTTCCCCCTTTTGCTGCCGCTCCCCAACCCCCCACTGATTCTGCTCCCTAACTCCCTCCCTTGGCTGCTCCCCATCCTTGTGCAGTTTTGGGAGCTGCCTAAGAGACTTTGGGTTTGGGTGCAGGTGAGGACGAGCAGGATGGTTGGGGTGTTGAGCGAAAGGCGGTGAAGCTATGGTGGTCAATCCCTTCGCGGCCGGCCTTGTCACGGTGATGCCACTGGGCTAGAGAGATGACGTAATGACTATCACCGCAAGAAGAAACGGGGCTGAGTCGAAGGACAGAGATGCCGTCGCGGGTCTCATCAAGGCCAGTCAGATTGCTCCCATTGGCTTTCTTGGCACCCAAGTACAGTTCAGTAACCATGCAGTCTGTATCAATTATGAAATGTATCCCTTCCATCAGCTGCCTATGAGAGAGGAGGTCAAAGCTTAGGTTATTGACAATGAGTACCTTGTTCAAATGTACTGTAAGAAAACTCCAGTATCGTCGTATTCTAGTGGGACATTGCTCAGTGCCGCTACGTGCCGCTGAGTTAACATGACAAGTGCTCCATATTGTTTGCCATTGTGATCGTGTACTTGTCACATTCTAGAAGCGACCTCCAGTTAAGGAGGTATCAAGAAGACGACGCCATGTGGTGCCAGCAGTAGCTGTCGAGAAACCAAGTACTTACATCATAGGAATAGTTCCTCTTTGTGATGTGGGCAAAACGTCTGCCCGTTGAGGTCGATGCTGGCAAAGTTATCATCGAGAACTTTGTTAATAAGGTCCTTCATGATGACAAGGCATCCCTTCAGGTCCGCACCTCGACTGGAGCACAGGACGCAGAAGACACCCGCTTTTTTTTTGGCATGCTCCTTCTCCAAGCGCAGGTTGGTATCCACGTGGAAGACCTCTCGACCCTCCTCTTAAAATACGACGGTAGAGATTGCATATTTGTGACCTTTGACAGTGGCCATCACATGCTCCATAAGGACTGGCGGGTGCGATTCTCCAGAATGAAGGGTAGTAAGGCAAGTGTTAGTATACTAGTTTAACAACAGCTAAGCTAAACAGCCAAGAAACATGCAGAGAAGAGTGATGGGTCAGGAAAAAGGAGAGGGGAATGGGACACAGCACGGTTTGGTGCTCAACTTTGACTTCCTCTTCATCGATCTCAATCGGCTCCCGTGGCATCTTTGGAGGCATTGGCGCTTGGCTAGATATGGTAGTGGTTCAGGTTAGTGACTCACGCCTTCGAGCTTGCCATGTCGTGCAAATCTATTGTGCGGTGACCATGCAGTTAACGACACGTCTTGTATGATGTGCAGGTCATGAAGAGGAAGAGGCTAAAGTTGGTGGGCGAGATGGTGCACCATGGTACTTGGGCGACACCTTCCAGGTGGCTCGGCGGTGCTTCTGCTTGACGACGGTCCTTCAACTTTTGACAATCATCGATGAAATGGTTGGGCTTTTTGCAGAACATGCAGAATGGGCATCTTTGATTCTCCCCTTATCCAGCACCGTCATTCCTTAGTCATGCATAGAGGCTAAATTTCTCCTCCTTTGCCTTGTTGCACATGCTGTACATGTCCATGTCCTATTGCTCGGCAATGAGTGTCGCATGACGCACACTCTCCTAAGTGTTGCCATGTGTGCACCGGAAGGCCTTGCACATGCGCCAATTGGGGTTGAGCCCGACGAGGAGCACTGTGATGAAGAGCTCATTGGGGAAGCTCTTACCGCTTCTGAGGAACTGGTCACGCAATTTGCCGCAGTGATTGATGTAGCTTCTGGCCTTCTTGCCTGGAAGCGTTTGAGCTGAATTCAGTTGTTGAAGTAGCTTACTGTGTGTCACATTGTCTTGTACCTGATGAACCTTGCAAAGACTGTCCCAGGCATACTTCGTGAAAGCGAGCGAACACTTAAAGAAATGCACATTGTTTTGCCCCGAAGGTGAGAGGTTCCAGACCAGTAGTGTGTGCGTCATTAATGAGAGGAGATAGTAATGCTCTTTTTCTTTTATTATCTAGTTTTGGGATATTTCATGGGGCAATCGAAGTAGCCATAGATGCCTGAAGACTATCCAAACAGTTGGAAAACAAAGGACCAAGTAAAGAAGTCTTTCCTGTCGAAGGCGCTCGAGGTATGCAGCTTCAAAATGGTGAGAAAACCTGCTTGGATTACGACTGAAATGGCATATTGGAAAGGGTTGTTGCTGGCATGATATTGTTGTTGTTGTTGCTGCTGCTCTCCAAGTGCAGGGCCCCATAGAAGGTGAAAGAGTCCGCGGACTCTTGTCGGGAGTCAGAGGCATAGCAGAGCTTTCCAGGCTCATGGTGTTGCTGGTAGGAATAGGATGAGGTACTCCTGAGTTTTCTCCATGCTACAGCGAAATCAGTTGTAATCTCCTCCAGTCGAGAAGTGGACGAAGTAGTGGAATGGCTGGAAGGCCCTTTGCCCGTCATGGAGTTATATTTGATTAATAACTGAGTCGAGTATGCTCATAACGGGATGTAACTGAGGAGCCCAAGGAGAGAGTTGTGGGTTCAAATGAAATCCACTTGCTCATAATACCATGTGGCAGTATTATCCACATATAGAGATTTACCTAAGTACTAGGGTTCCGTGGAACCCGTGAGAGCTTAAGTTAGCAAAAGACTTAGTGATCCTTGTACTATACGAACAGTATATTATATAAGGATAATTCAATTATCAGTACAACATGCATAAATACCACAAGAGGTGCTTATTCTGAAATAACCTCTTTAAGAAACCTATTGCAAAACCTCTTTCCGTAACCTCACTGTTGCAACTTCTCATTGCAACCTCTCACTAACACTGCTCATACGTTGACTCGTGTGGTTGTTGCCACATGCTCGCGTCCTCTATATGAGGTGACTGTTGGTGCAACCCTATGGCTTGCACTCGGCTTGTCGTCCTTGTTTGTGTGTGTGCATGCATAGCATGGAATGACTTGTGTGTCTATGTCATTGCTATCTAGTGCTTGTGTGTGTGTTTGAATGGTGTATCACAATGTGGTTTGTGTCAGTCAAGACATTAGCGAGTTTTCACAACTCGCATGTCAAGTCGTCGTTTGCGTGTCGCATGTGTTTTTCTATTTTGTCGAGTGTGAAGTGTCCATCGCGTTGCAGGTGTGTGCAGCAAGCCCTCATCAACTCAAGAAGAATTTATCTTGTAGAATCAAGACCAAGAGCTCAAGATTTCAAGCCCAAGGGAAGTGGATAAATATTAAAATAGTGAAAATAGTAATGCTACTTTACGTAGTGTTACATTTCACTTGGTCCAGCCCCTTGTTGAGTTTGTTTCGAGTCCCTTCGTGGTTGGGGACTCTGTGGTGGTGTACCACCAGCCTGGACCTCGGCTCTTGGGGTATGTAGAGGCTGGGAACCATCTCTGTAAGGAATTTTCCATTCCTTACCGAGCGGTACTGCTAGCGCGTACGCTCGAACACACCTGAAGCCTCGGGACTGTTCCAGACCTTCTGACAGAACCGCCTCGGTTTTTCCAGACTTACCGGTTCGACCTTCGGGAGTTCTCCAGGCCTCGCTTCGTCACTTCGAGACCCTTCGATCTCCTTCCCGAACCTTCCCATCGCATGGTTAGACTAGCTCTGGTGTTCCTATATCTTGGCTTGCCATTCCTTGTATCGTCATTCATTTTGAGTGAACACTTCGTTATTCATTTCCGCGCTACTCTGCTTGTTCATTCATAACACCTGGTATCAGAGCCACTTTCCTCGCTCACCCGTTTTCGTGAGTTGATTTTTTTTGGGGGGGGGTAGGTCCCTCACGTAAGCTGCAAAGCGGTTGCCCGCGAATTAGATTGATTAATTCGCCCAACTACGATAGCGTTTGCGCTTACCTGAGTACAGGCACACGACGGAATTCCCCCTGCCCCGGCGGAGCATTCGCCAAATGGACCAAGCTCAGTTCAACGAGCTTCGGGAGCAGTTCAACGCCATGAACACGCGCATGGCTACAGTGCTGGAGGACAACGAGCGACTTCGTGCGGAAGTTGCTGAGTTACGCCAGGCGCGAGAGGATTCACGTCAGAAAATTGCCGCCCAAGAGGAGGTCGCCAGCACCGGACGTGTTGAAACCGTCTTGGACGAAATCGCACGTCAGGTGTCACAGGAGCGCAAGGATAGTGAAGCCGCCGCAGCAGCTGACGTGGCAGCAGGAGCAGCAGCCGAAGCAGCAGCAGCAGCGACAGCAGCAGCCGCTCGGTCAGAAGCAGCCGCTACTGTAGCCGCACCGGCGTTTATGCCGATCGTGACAACAGCGACGATCAAACCGACAATGCCGCCCCCGTTCAATCCCACAGATAAGAATACTACTGTTACGGGCTGGTTATTTTCGGCAGAACTTTATTTTAATGCCGCTGGGATCACTGCTGACGAGTTAAAAATTCGACTGGCTGTATCACTACTGCGGGGACCTGCGCTAGATTGGTGGCGATATACTCTACAGGAGGGGGAGTTTTCGGCAGGCGACACACAGGGGTTTTTCGGAAACTTTGGGTCTGCTGCCCAAGGGTCAACTGCGATTTTTGGATCGACCAAGATTCGCACGTGGAAGGCGTGGGGTACAGCTCTGCGTGAACGGTTCGAGCCCATATCCGCCTCGGACAACGCACGTACGAAGCTGGACAACTGGCGCCAGTGGAGTTCTGTCCAGGATTACGCGTCGATCTTCATGGCGTTATGCGATCAAATCACCGACATGCATGACCCCGAGAAGAAAGCTCGATTCATTTCGGGCTTGAAGCAGGACATTAAATGCGAGGTCCGACTGCGACTACCGGCGACGTTTCACGAAGCTGTCCGGATCGCAGATAATTTCGACGCACATCGGACGTATGCGAGAGCGGGTTCCCGGGAGGGAAATCGTTTTCGTGGCCAGAATCCACGGCCCACGATTCACGGCGTAGTGGCGAAGGAGCACATGGACGATTTTCGCAAGGGACAATGTTTCAACTGCCACCAGCCGGGTCACCAATCTCACGATTGCCCCCGAAAGAAGCAGATAAAGAAGAACGACGAGGACAGGTCGGGAAACGCCAAGCGTCAGTAGCGGTCGGGCCCCCTACTGACCCTGCCTCATCGCCCGAAAAACAGCATCCCCACCGAGTAGTGGTTCCGATACATGCTATCAACCGCTCCCGGCTGAAAAGGGAGGATGACCTAGTGGACCACCCTGTACTGGCAGAAGGACGACTTCAGGGACGAAAAATAAAAATATTCATCGACGGAGGTGCGAGTCATAGCCTGATAAATCGAGAGACAGCACGACGACTACACCTGACGCTGGAGAGGTGTCTACCCGAAATCGACGCACGATTGGTGGACGGCACCCCGCTGGCGATACGCGACAAAGTACCTGTCGTTCGAATGAAGTGTGGCGAAGATTTTGGTTTCAGCGCGCCGATGCTGGCGACAACGCTCGACGGTTACGACGTGCTATTGGGACGAGACTGGCTGCGACGATTCAACCCACAGATCGATTGGACAACAGGCGAGTGCACAGTGAAGTGCGACAAAGATTGGCGAAAATTACCCACGTGGCCGGAAGCAGAGACAACATCGACACGAGTCAACACGGTGTGCCTCAATCGAGCGGTCAAGAATGGAGCGGATTTGTACGCCGTCCATCTAATCGAATCGACGGAGCAGAATGAGGCGACCGACATCGACAAACTCTGCGCCTCGGTCCCGGATGACTTGGCGAAAATCATTCGAGAATATCCTGAGATCTTCCCGGACGACTTGCCAAGTGGACTGCCACCCGAACGACCCCAGGACCACAAAATCGAGCTGGAGCCCGGCGCGCAGCCTACTGTACGCACGCAATGGCGCCTGACTCAGCCGGAGCTACAGGAGTTACGAAACCAGTTGGACTACCTGCTGGCGAAAGGGTTCATTCGGCCGAGCACGTCCCCGTTCGCAGCACCGATCTTGTTCACACCAAAAAAGGACGGTGGACTTCGCATGTGTACGGATTATCGTGCCCTTAATCGGGTAACGATTAAATCGCGCTACCCAATCCCACGAACGGACGAACTGATCGACAACCTTCGCGGAGCTCGTTACTTTTCGAAGATCGACCTTCGTGGCGGTTACCATCAAATTCGAATGTTCGCTGACGACTGCCACAAGACCGCGTTTCGTACTCGCTATGGGAGTTACGAATACACGGTGATGCCGTTTGGATTAACGAACGCCCCCTCGACGTTTCAACTCACCATGAATGGGGTATTCCGCGATCTACTCGACAAATGCGTGATAATTTACTTGGACGACATCCTGATCTACAGCAAGACCCGGGAGCAGCATTTACAAGATTTGGAAGCGGTTTTTCAGCGGTTGCAGCAGCATCGACTCATCACCAAGGGCTCCAAGTGCGAGTTTTTAAAACAAGAACTGGAGTTCCTGGGGCATGTGATATCCACGAAGGGGATTCGAATAGACCCGAAAAAACTCCGGGCTATTCAGGAGTGGCAACCGCCAACAAATCTGCAGCAGCTGCAATCCTTTTTGGGTTTCGTGAATTACGTGCGGAGGTTTATACCCAACATGGTGGGGTTAACTGGACCTCTAACCGACCTACTGCAGAAGGGAACTTTTTACGAGTGGGGGGAGAAGCAGCAAGCTGCGTTTGAGGCATTAAAAACTCTTTTAATGTCGCCACCGGTGCTTCGCATCGCTGACCCGGAACGGCCCTTCGAAGTCATCACCGACGCAAGTGACATCGCCATCGGAGCAGTGCTCATGCAGGATTTCGGCAACGGGCTTCAACCAATCGCGTACGAGTCTCGGAAAATGCAATCTGCTGAGCGCAACTACCCAGTACACGACAAGGAGATGCTGGCGATCCTCCACGCGTTCAAAATCTGGCGGTGCTACCTGACTGGAGCAGACGTGACGGTGCGAACCGATCACAAATCACTACAGTACCTGAGGGCGCAGCCGAATCTCAACCCGCGGCAGATACGCTGGCTGGACTATCTGGAGTCAAATTTCACGTACAAGATCACGTACAAAAAGGGCGCCAACAATATTGCCGACGCCCTTTCCAGACCATCTGCCCAACTCGCAGCTGTACTAGTCGCCCAGAGCAACCCGCTGCTGAGTGGACTATTTACCCACGGGTATTCGACTGACCCCTTCTTCGTAAACGACGGCCATCTCCCAATCACTACGCGGAAAGGCGTCTATTACTTACGAAGCGGGACTGATCGAATTTGGGTCCCAAGTTATCGTCTACTTCGCGAATTACTAATTCAAGAAGTCCACGATTCGAACTTATCGGGACATTACGGGGTTGATAAAACTCTGAAGGCGTTGCGGCGTTTTTATTACTGGCCAGATATGGTGACGGACGTGCAGCGTTACGTGGCCGCGTGTCCGATCTGCCAGCGAATGAAATCCTCACACCAGCGACCAACAGGACTGTTGCAGCCCCTCGAGCCACCTCAACGCCCATGGCAACACGTAACGATGGATTTCGTTACGGGACTACCGGCCGGATCTAGCGGAAACGACGCGGTTTTGGTTGTCGTCGACCGATTGACGAAAATGGCGCATTTCGCACCATGTCGTACAACCATCACAGCCGAAGAAACAGCGCGCCTGTTCATCTCGACCGTCGTTCGACTACACGGGATACCAGCAGCAATCATTAGCGATCGAGATCCGAAGTTCACGTCCAAATTCTGGCAGGACACGTGGGCTCGGTACGGCACGCGTCTACAGTTCTCATCCGCGTATCATCCACAAACGGACGGCCAGACGGAAAGGACAAATCAAACGATGGAGCAGCTAATTCGGACAAACTGCCCCGACCGAAACAAATGGGAGGACGTGCTGCCCATGTTGGAATTTTCCTACAACAACGCGCCCTCGGCTACGACTAATCACTCCCCGTTTTATCTCAATTACGGGATGGACCCTACAGTGCCGATCTCCACCAACGTTGAGAGTCAAGTACCACGATCGCAGCAGTTCGTCGAAGAATTACAGACTGCCCGAGACAAAGCTGTCGAACTTATTCGTAAAGCGAACGCGACTGCCCGACGGTATGCGGATTTACATCGACGGGATATTACGATGACGACAGGGCAACTAGTCCTTCTGGACACCAAGAATTTACGACTGCCACTACCGACGAAATTACGACCACGTTTCTGTGGCCCGTTCAAGATCGTAAAGATGGTGACGCCGGTGACCGCCCAGTTGCGCCTACCTGATGACTGGCGAATTCACAACAAATTCCACGTGAGTTTGTTGCGACCCTTCGTGCCTGACACGTCGGACATCGCTCGACAGCGATTGGTTCCAGACGTACGGCCACCAGCCGAGACGACCATCGAGCCTTCGAAGATCTTGAGCCATCGGATTCGTATCGACGGTCAAGGACGACACGTTGACTTTCTGATACGATGGACCAATCGTACCAGTGAGGACGACACGTGGGTGCCCTCGGACCAGATACAGTCACCTTCGATACTTGCGAATTATTTGGACCGCAAGCACGTGGTTGATATAGTTCACCTTCGCTAAGGGGGGGGGTGGTGTAAGGAATTTTCCATTCCTTACCGAGCGGTACTGCTAGCGCGTACGCTCGAACACACCTGAAGCCTCGGGACTGTTCCAGACCTTCTGACAGAACCGCCTCGGTTTTTCCAGACTTACCGGTTCGACCTTCGGGAGTTCTCCAGGCCTCGCTTCGTCACTTCGAGACCCTTCGATCTCCTTCCCGAACCTTCCCATCGCATGGTTAGACTAGCTCTGGTGTTCCTATATCTTGGCTTGCCATTCCTTGTATCGTCATTCATTTTGAGTGAACACTTCGTTATTCATTTCCGCGCTACTCTGCTTGTTCATTCATAACAATCTCAATCTCGACTCTTGTTGCTAAGGTTGTACTTCTAGGACTATAGTGGCTGCTATACCTCCTACCAGTCAAACTGCCATATCGTCGTCAAATCTTCATGGAATTTCATGATTCAACTTGCTGTTGATAGGCGACAGCAACGCACTCTAGATCCAACTTATAGATCACCGTTTAAGTCAGCGACCAGATCGTTATCAATATTTGAAGGCGTCTGACGGAAATCTGACTGTGATCTCTATCTCTCATTTTAGGCACATCTGAGCCTATTGTGATTATAACAAGTGGTATCAGAGCCCCTTGGACCTATTTCGACCATGCCTAGATCTGGGGAAGGGGGTGGCAGAGGTGCTGGAGGCAGAGAAGACGCCCAAGCACACGGTCAACACCAAGATCGTGGCTGGCATCTCTAATCGTGGGCATTGGTGATCTGCAATGTACGATGGTGGCTCACGTGAGTAACGTCTTCCATCGCTTCATTCACCAGAACTTGATTCAACAGTACCTTATGCCGGAGGTCTAGTGAGCCTTTACTATGTAATTGATGATTGGTCTTGTTTTGCGAGGACGCGAAGGATAGGAGGCAATGGCTTGTGGCAAAATCGTTCACCGTGGTGCTTGGACAACGCCTTCAGGGCATCTTGGGTTGGCTTTTGAGCAGCGGCAGTCTTACAGCTTCTGATAATTGTCGATGAAGGAACCGGGCTTCTTGCAGAACATGCAAAAGGGTCGTTTGCGATTCTTTCCTCGTCCAATGTCTTCATGCCTTTGTCCTATATAGAAACTTAACTTCTCTAATGTTGCCTTGTTGCACGTATTGTACAGGTCCATGTCTTGCTGCTCAGTAATGAATGTCGCATAAGTGGCCTCCGATATTTTTCCCTGTATGCGCAGGAAGGCCTTGCACATGCGCCAGTCACAGCTGAATCCGGTGAGGAGTACAGTGATGAAGAGCCCGATGGGGAAGCTCCCAATGATCCTAAGGAACTGGTTGCACAAGTTGCGGCAGCGGTTGATATATAGTAGCTTTCGGCCTTCTCACTATGAAGCTTTTGATCCGAGTTAACCGTTGAAGTGCTTAGGTTTGTGTCACACTATTTTATGCCTAATGAACCTTGCAAAGACTGTCCTTGGTGTAGTATGTGAGAGCGAGCGTGCTCTGGAAGGGACGCATGCCGTTCTGCTCTGAAGGCAAGAGGTTCTGCACTAGCAGTGTGTGCGTAATTAATGGAAGTCGGTAGTACTGCTCTTTTTTTGTTTTTGCTCATGCTTTAGGGTACTTGATGGTGCCATCAAATGCCTGAAGACTGCACTAGCAGCTCAAACGTGAAGGTCCAGGTGAAGATTTTTCTCCTGTCAGAGGCGCTTGGGGTCTGCAGCTTTGAAATGGTAAGGAAATCGGCTTGATTGACGGCTGTAGTGGCGTACTAGAACGGTTTGAGTTTGATGTTGTCCTATTGCAGTGAAGGAGCTTGTCGACACTTTTCCAGGAATCGGTGGCATAGCGGCAGTTGCATGGGCATAACTAGAGCTGTCGAGACTTATAGTGTGGCCCGTAGGCTTATGATTAGGGACTCCTTAGTTGTCTCCTTCGCCCACTTCTGGAGTGGAGGAGATCACGACCACCTCATAGGAGCGAAGTCAGTCGTGATCTCCTCCACTCCAGAAGTGGGCGAAGTAGTAGAACGGCTGAAAGCCCCCTTGCCCATCATGGAATTAATAGTCGATTAAAGGCTGAATCGACACATGCTAGTAACAGAATGCTAAAAGGGAACCCAAGGAGGGATTTGTGGGTTTTGGTGAAATCCACTTGCTCAGAATACCATGTAGAATTAATATCCTTGGAATAGATATATATCCGAGGACCAGGATTTTGTGGAACGTGGGAGAGTCAGCTGAAGACTTAAATGATCCTTGTTTTGTAAGAACAGTATATGAGATATTATAATACAATGATAAGTGAAAACATGCATAATGAAGCCTTCTGAAGTAACATCTTTAAGAAGCCTCTGACAAAACCTCATTCCGTAACCTCATATCGCAACTTCTTGTTGCAACCTCTCGCTGCACTGTTCAAATGTTGACTCGGATGGTTATCGCCACCTGTCCATCCTCTATTTGGGGTAACACAGTACTGCAGACGTGTGCATTTTCGATATAAGATAACTCGCTACTTAAATATGGATACAATCAGGAATGCACCAAGATATCCTCCGAACAATCTTCAACACATAGAGCAATCTTGCTAGCTCTTTCAAGATTAATCTAGATTCTGTAGCCATTTGGCAACGTAAACTGTTACAGATGTTTGTGACGGTTGCGACCAGGAAACCCCCAACACTTTGTAATATGCTCCAAAAGACTCCCATCCGAAACAATGAAACAAGTTGAGATAATTTGATAGAAAAATAAAAACTCATTTTTGCAGTTGTCATATTGTTGAAGTACCATGTTTATTGCAAGTTCATCACACGTTCAATTGGGTAGCACAATTGTAAATATAAATACGGAATGGATGCAAAAATATAGTTTTCATGCTATTGCACCACCAAAAGTCCCCACATCCACGCCGCGCAGTTTCATGATTTCAATAGCTGCAATGGATGGGAGAGGGGAGTGAAGGAGAGAAAAACTTTTTCTTGGAACAAGGGGGCAAGGGGCAAGAGAGGGTTGGGGGGCATCTGAGAGCAGGGCGAGATCAGAGAGCAGGTGTCACATGATCAAATTTGTCGAGAGAAAGTTGCACTATCGATCGATAGAAGGTGATTTTATACTTTCAAAGTACATCAGGTAACCAGGTTTATCCTACCCAAAGGGAATAGTCCCTTCTAGAAATAGAATCACCCTGCGCATATCCACGTGATGTTATTGGCTTTAAGGGATTACAGCAAGATTACACTAGATATAGCGTGCCAGTACATCTCGAGCCTGGTCAGTAATATAATCATAATAATAGGATAAACCAAAGGATAATGGAAAATGAGAAATAGGAAACCAAATGAGATGAGATAAAGAGCAAATGAATCAGGAAAAGAATGAGAATGAGATAGAGAAGAAATATAGAAATGAGAAAGAAGTGTAACGAGGTCGTACTCTCATAGCAGGGGGATGGTGATGGGGAGGAGGACAGCCGAGAGCAGGGGGACAGTAGAGAGCAGGGGGGCAGCAGAGGGAGGGGGGGGCAGCCGAGAGCAGGAGAACAGCAGAGAGCAGGGGGTCAGCAGAGGGCGGGGGATGGCAGAGAGCAGGGGGACAGCAGAGAGCAAGGGGAGAGTAGAGAGTGGGGGGACAGTAGTGAGCAGGAGAACAGCAGAGAGCAGTGGGACAGGAGAGAGTGGGGGGACAGAAAAGAGCAGGGGGACAGCAGAGAGCAGAGGGACAGCTGAGGGATAGGAGAGAGGTGCGGGACAGGGGAGACTAAGGGATAGGAGAGAGCTGGGATTAAAACAGAAAGGGGGGAGGGGAAGACTGCGAGAAATGGTTGTGGAGAGGGGGAGGTGGCAGGTAGAGGGAGGGATATGATGGGAGGGTATGAATAAGTGGTAGGAGAGATGATGGGGCAGATAAAAGGTTGACCCTTGCCCTTTCATTCCACTCTTCTTGACCCTTGTTACACCTCTCCTTGCCCATTGTTACACCCCTCCTTGCTCTTCATTCCCCTCCGATTGCCCCTTTGCTCCCCCTTCCCTGCCCTTTGTCCCTCCTCTCCCTCCCCCTTGTTCCCCCTCTCCTTGAGCTAAGTGGGAACCTCACATTTCCTTTTGCTCCCCACGCTCCCTGCCTCCCTATCTCCCTGCCTCCCTATCTCCCTGCCTCCTTATCTCCCTGCCTCCCTAAATCCTTGCCTCCCAACGTCTCTGCCTCCCTATCTCCCTGCCTCCCTATCTCCCAGCCCCCCTCTCTCCCCCATTGTAAAGTAGAAGGTTTAAAATGGAGGTGTTATAGGCTAGAAATGTGGAAAAAGATCTAGAAGGACCTCATAATCAAGCCTTGGATAGTCTTGAACTTGCTTGAGAGTTGGGGTGGAAAGCCTTGGAGAGACCTCCAAGGTTGAAGCTTGCAAGTAGTTGTAGGTAGTGGTGAGAGAATAGCTCCTCTATGGCTTGTGAGGAGACAAAACAAGCTTAGAGAAATCCCATTTCCAACTTTGGTTTAGTTGATTTGGAAAGAGAAGATGGGCTTGGGAGCTCAAACCCCCTCCAATAACTCCTTGGGGAGCTCCCCTCCTCCATGCAACCAAGGGGGGGAGCTCCTAAGTTTTGTCAAGCTTAGGTGGCAAGATTGTTGGATTAGCTATCCAACTAACAAGAGATCAAAAAAAAGATTGGTTGGGTTCAGATTTGTAACACACATGCCAACTTGTTATTGGCTAAAAAATTCCACCCATTGGGAGAACAAAATATAGTTTTGGGGTTTCGCAATCTCCATTTGGGAAATCCCAAGCGACATTTGTCGAGGTGGAGGTGGTTGTGCCAACCCCTTCCAGCTCCTCGAATCTCCTTAGCCCTATTTCTCGACACTCGCGGCCTTGCGTTAGTCATGCTAGTGTGAGGTAGGTGAACTAGGTAGGGAGAATCGGGATGCGTCACACCCATTCATCCCCCCTTTTCCCTCATCTCCCCTCCCTCCCTCCCCCCCCCCTACCGTTCCCCTCATTCCATCACCCTCTATCCCTCATACCACCCCCAGCTCTCCATGAACCTCATTTCCCCATTCTGCCTACCCCTTCCCGCATGTGCATACCTTGTTCCCCTGTTCCAATTTCCACTTTCCCTCCTTTCCCCATCATGCGTACCTCTTTGCAAGGTGGAAAGTCTGCCGTTGCAATCGAGCCTCGCTCGCCGTATTTAGGTGGTTGTACCTAACTGGTCATACCTAATTATCGTTACCTAACTCATCGTACCTAGCT